ATATGATGAGAAATTATTGGCAATCTCTATTTGAAGAACATTTGGTAAGAATTCTACTAAAACAATTAGATTATAAGCTCGGGATTTCTGCTCGAGTTAACTTAATCACGCAGAGAAACCTGGAGCGAAAAATCTAAATGTTTGAGTATCTACGGTAAATAAACTAAATTTTCTTCAAGGACATTTCGAAAACGCAGTGGAGCGGCCGCCATTTTGTTAACAACCGCACACTGCTAGGCTACTCACTATCCACATCAGAATACTAGATAGTGAGTAGCGCAGAACGAAAAGAGAACGGCATTCGTGATAAATCGTTAATGGCTTTCCAGTGGTTTTCCATGGGCTGCCAGTAAACTGGAATTCGTAATCTGCGATTTTGTTTCATGATGGGTGGTGTAAGTCAAGCCTATGATCTTGTGGATTAGTCGTTATATTGGCACGTATTTTAAAAAGCGTGATATGTTATCAATCCAGTACATTCAGTTGGATTGGTTGATATCTGAAAAATCTCTGTTCATCCATAGGTAAAAAGCAAAACCGCCGCCACTGGTTCTGGAAACCTGAAATCTTCTCACCAGAGTAAAAAGAAGTTAAGTGCAGATAAACCGCCACAGTCGAAAGAGGCAGAAGACGACGCGTGGGATGTAGGGGACTGGGGATCGTTTGAAGATTCTCCGCTGACCAGCAGTGCCCCTGCTGCAGAAGTACAGAGTAAAAAGTCCCCGGATGATGACTGGGGTCAAGACAAGTGGGATGCGGAGGACTGGGGACAAGACAAACCCAGTAAAGCAGAGCTTGCGAAAAAGAAAAGAGAAGAAAGAAAGCAAAGACTGCAGGCACAAAAGGATAAGCGGGCCGCGAGTGCAAAAGGGCCTATGAAACTTGGAGCAGTCAAAATGCAGTGAGAATTTGAAACTAGTTATACGACGTGCAGTAATGTGTTTCTGTTCCCGTGTTTACATTGAAAGGAACAGATAGGCCTAAAGGTTGAAGACTTGAATCTCGAAGGTGATATTTGTCAAATTGCTCATAGCGGAAGCCTGCCATGGTGAAGGCGCTGGGACTTCGCTGAGAATACTTCACTCGCCCTGCTAATGTTTAGGACAGAAAAGGCGGCAGACCTTGAAGAATGTCAATGCTTTCAGCCTTTTCTTCGTCTATTAAAATGCATGGGATTATCTGATGGGGAATCTTTCATTTCCACCCTCCATTTCTCAATGATAGCACAGCAGTCTCTTTCGGTCGTTCGTCAGTTCGTCGACAAATCAAATTCTTCTTTGTGTTTTTACTCCTCGAGCGTACGTTCGCTACCACTAGATAGACAATGAAGACAATCTGGATTTCATATTTTCGACGAAAAGACTACATCTGTCGCAAAAAACATTATTATTTTGAAATTAAGAATATTTAATATATCAAATTTATTTGATATCGTCTCCCCATTGTGGGGTCCAGTGGTCGATAAATGAAGCAAAATATTGCCCAGCTAGAAAGACGCATAAGCCATGTCATCAACATAATTCCAACTTTGCGAAATACAACGTTGAAAGGAAAACAAAGAGAGAAAATGAGAATAGTCTGCGGGTACAGCTTAGGAAAATAATGAAATATTTGACAATATTTGACCGAAGTTCGGAACCAGGCTATCCACTTTTCTGTTTTAATGACAACGCCACGGGGAAAATAATTCTATTATAATATTTTTAAAGAGAATAAAACATAATTCCAGAGTCTCTTGTTTGAGTCACTTTTCTGCTAATCTCTGTGTGTGCCTTTATCATGATGAACAGAACATGATCAACCTCGTTCCCAGGGTCTTAGGAAGAGATAGGACCCTGGGAACGAGATTAAACATGTACCAATCAGTACAATCAGTAGGTTACACTGCAGAACGTTATTTCCACAGCAACGTAGTCGAACATTTCAATACTGACACCAAAGAGGGCTTACTGTATTTCGTATAAAATACAAACAAAGTTAAACTAAAACTGGAGTAACTGTATGCAAACACCCAAAATTACTAACTGGCTTGAAAGTGTTGTGAGTGATAACAAACTTTCACTTCTATAGAGGATGGTCCTTTTCTATATTTGTCAATAGATCGTTTTCACTGTCACGCAATAAAAAAATAAATCGAAAACCATCCAGTAGAAAACGCTATGAAATTATGATGTTATAAAAGATAACTAAATAAGTCACTTCTCCAAGTTTCAGACCTGTGCGTTTCCCCAAACTTCAGATACTCGTCGGAATGTTTCGCCGATATTTACAGAACCCAGTATGAAAACGCCATGTTGGTGTACCTCCGTGGTA